ACTTAACCACGTGCACATCTGGTTCACCAAATTCATCTTCATCTTATCAAACTTTTCCTCTGAATCCATTTGAGCAAGTAAAATGAACATAATCATAATGAATGAGTTAGGATTTAGGATTATGTCACTGATTTCTTTTTATTTTTTAAGGTGTAAATTAAAAATGTAGAAGAAAAATAAAGTGTTAAAAAGCATCTTTTCTATATTATATATATAGGTAAAATATTTCTCTAACGTTCATATCGTTTCGTGAAATAGTTTGATTATTTATACCAGCATTTTTTAACAGTTACACTGTATTTTTATTATATTTATATACTTTTTTTTTTCTCACATCACATTTACAAGTTAAAAAATGAGAAGAAAAAAATCATAAAAGTGTCTCTTCAGGTGAAATGACAATAGGGTTAAATTACGTTGTTATTTCAAGATTAAGAAAATAAATGTGAAAATAAACAATCACAAAAGAATACACTAAGTTATAATTACCACTGTCATGTGCAATTAAAAAAATTAATATACTTTTAGTATAAATTTTAATAAAAACCTATGTGAAATGTATGTAAGAGGAACTTGTAAAAAAAAGGCTGAATTATTCAATTGACTCATTAATAGGGTACATAGTTATAATTCTAAGCTCCTAAAATAATTTAAACTTAGTTCAATTATGCTAATCTTGAAATTAATCACTCACTCAAGGTGTCATGTTAAAAATACAATTATGCAATTACCGTTAGTATAAAAAAGGTTTTCTACAACATAGTTTTACATTAGTTAATAAATTCTTAATAATAACAAGAAATTTTTAATATCATTTATCAAATTAAACTGAGGTAGAAATTAAAAAATAAAAAAATAAAAAATAGAAAAACTGAAATTTTAGAAAAAAAAAATATGTTCAAACTCTCTTTAAGTTTTTGAGTTGAATAAATCTCAAAATGTTAAATAAAATATATGTATATTTTACATAAATTTAAAATTATGTGCTAAAAGTTATATCCTTCAAAATTTATGATTTAAAAATTAAAATTGTAAAAAATTTTATATTAGTTGCTAAATAATTTATGTAAAAGATATTTTTTATATGAGTTATTAAAAAGTTTGATTATAAAAGTGAAAATTTGAAAAAAAATTACATTAACTATTTTTAAAATAAACATAAAATCAATTTAAAATATAATATTTTAAAGATAAGTTCTAGTAAAATAATATAAATTGAAGATGACAAAAATAAATTCATATTTATATTTTCAAGCTTTTGTTGAAACTTTTACCTACACTATTAATAAACACAAACTTTTACTTATATTTTCAAATTTATATTTACATTGTTAGTTACGTCATTAATAAACATAAAGATTAAATTCTTAAGTTATAATTGACAAATATTAATAATAAACATTAATGTTATTGATATTAATATACATTGAAATTATCAAAAAATTATATGCTAAAATGTAAAAGAATAATAATATCGTTAATCAACCTGTTTGCTATAGTCATCCTTAATAAACTTGAAGTCAATAATGAATAAACTCAAGTCAATTACCCTACTCTATAATAAATTAATTAAAAATTAATGTTGACACCACTTCTATTCTTTTAGTTTTAGTGAAAACTCTAAAAAATATTTTAATTTTCGTCCATTAATTTGTGTGTTTCTAATTTGTTGTCATCCTTATTTTTATTTTTATTTTTTATTTTAGTTGTATTGAAGTGATGACATAAAATAGATGTCATTAAAGTGTGTACATATATATGGTTATTTTCTTTTTAGATGACTGATTTGTGATTTGTCTTTAATCGATTTTTTATTTATGCACTTAAAAAAATTACTATAGTATGGTTTGGATAGAGTTAGAGAAGTAAAAAAGTGCAAAATCAACTAAACCTAATGGCCCATGACATTTTAATCAATTTAGATTATTTTTTAAATAAAAATAAATTCAATCCAATCCAACTCAACCCGTTAACACTCTTAGAATCATGATATAGCTATTGGTCTCTGTGGTACATTTTCTTAGCATAATCCTAAATTCATCTCCTCTGGACAAATGTATCTCCATCATTAATCATTAATCATTAATGCAGAACATTTGATAATGGTGATCCATGGCAACACGTCATATTTCCATTCGTAGAGATTGCAACCAATCCATAGAAGAGGGTAATCTCTTCATGAAGGATAGTCCCCCAAAATTTCAATCTAAGTGGTCACACTTTGTATCTTTTGTGTTGCATGAACCTAAAATGACCTGACTCATTCTTTAAGAAAGAAAGTTGATGAGAATGAGACTGAAAATGGACCTATAATTGTCACTACCATTTTTGGTAACCCTGGCCATCCCAATTATACCTCTCTGTGATATGATGATATATTTTATCATTGATGCTTGGACAATTATACACCCCATCAAATTCAATTTAATTTCTTTTCTTCATTTCTTTTAAACCCATGATATGATATTTGACACGTGTTACTTTTTGGTTCTATGACTTTTCATATTTTTGTTACTTTTAATATGTGTTTAATTAAATCAAGTTAAATTAGAGTAAAATTATAAGTGAATAAGAAGTTGGGAAGCTACAGATAATTAATTAATGGTGTTAAAGTGATAAGTAAAAAGTTTAGGCATAAAATATGTAAAAACATAAAATTCAGGTATGCTTGTCACTTATTATGATTATGTTTGACAAAAATAATTGATAAGTTAGTTAAAAGTTGAATGGCTAATTTTAATTTATATGTATTAGCTATAAATTAAAAGCTGCAGCGAGCTAGTTTATTGAATTAAAATATTGAGTAAAGTATAAAAATTGTTAAAGTTGGTAATATGTGTAAAATAGCAAGAAAAGACATGTTTATGTATATTGTTTTATTAAAAAAAATCATTTTTATTTGATAAAAAAATATTTCTTTTGTCTAAATATAGTTTTACTTTTTTTAGTTAATTTTGAACTTTTATTTTTATTTTAAAGATTAAAGAAAGAGGCAAATGAAGACTGAAGATCATTGTTATAATATTGAAGGTAAAAAAAGAAGAATATATATATATATATATATATATATATATATATATACACACACATAAAAATGTATTAAAAATATATATTAAAGTTAAATGAAATGACTAATCAAAGATATTCAACTTTCGATTTATTTGTTTTTTTGATGAAGTTAGATTTTGTGAATATTTAAAAGCATAGAGACTTAAAGTACAGAAATTATCACACCATAAAAAAGAGAGTCAATAACTTAATATTGTTTTGAGTTGTGGGTAAAATAATAAATGGAATCATTTTATTCTATTTAGGAGGGTTTGTAATTTGATTTAGACTAAATTTGAAATAAAAACATTATTTAATTCAATCATTAAAAAATTACGATTACATTTAGATTGATTTAAGAACAATATCAAAATTAAATCAATTTAAACTGTTTTTTTAGTTTGAATTAGATTGATTATTTTTATTTTATTATATTTTAATACATGCTATTTTTTTTGTTAGTAAACAAGTAACATTTTATCAATTAGAATAAAATATAAAAATTAATATAAATTTGGTACATTTCTGATTCAATTTGGTTTAATTTAATTTTAAATATAAAAATATAAAATCAAACTAGACTGCAAAAAATAAATGTAAATTGTTTTAATTTTTTTTTATTAATGAATCGTTTTAATGGTTTTTAAAAAATTGAATCAGTCATTAAAACTTCATTTCATGATGAAAGTTCTGTTAAAAAAGAAAATACAATGCACTCTATGTATATCACATTTTTCTTAATTTTGATGCTTGTTTGCTTTTTCCTTACCAAAGTCGGAAATGGGTCACCTCTTCAAATATTGGGCTTGCATGTTACTCTTTTTTTATTTTTGGTCAATGCTAATTGGTTCTTATTTTGTTTTATGGTTACAGGCATATTGTTTGTATCATATGTTAGTTAGTGCTCAAATGGGCTTAGATTTATTGGGCCTACATATTTGCTAAGCAACCTACACGATGTGCCTTAATATTTTTAGAAATGGTGCTAAGCAAACAAGGGATACATTCTAACAATACTTTGGTTTCTCTTAAAAAGTTATATTTATATTCACGGAAAGAATAATATAATTGAGTGGAATAAATCAATATTAGGTTACCTATTTTATCTGATGAAATATTGAGTGGAAGTACTCTCTTTCAAATTTTGCAATTAATACTTTTCAAGATTAAAATTATATAAAAAATAACATGTGAATTACACTTTATTTTTTATTGTAATGATTTAATTTTTATATTATTATTTTTTGTTAATTTTGTTATAAATTTAGAGAGATAATAATTATTACTTACTTTTTTCTATCACCTTATATAAAATTTTTAAATTTACTGTAAATATCTGTGCTTATATTTATAAAAAAATATTATCTTATATAAATTTTTAAAATTTTCACAAATATCTTTGTTTATATAAAATTCATAATATTTTTATACATACTATTTATAGTTATAGAATTATGTTAAAATAGTTTTAAAAGAAATTTAATGTTTTAATATTTTCGGAGTAATGCTGTATAGCCACAAAAATAGTTAGAATTGACCCAATTTACACCTTTTTTGCAGTAAAAAGGTTCTCCCTCCTCAACAGCCAACAGACATGAAAACTAGGGAAGACAGGCTGTAATTTTATTCTATTTTTATTTTAAGTATTTAAAATAGTAAATTATTTTTATAACAAAAATATATTAAAATAATATAATAGGATGCTTAATATTTTTAAGCAATATTTATTTTTATTATCTCTTTTTTCATTCATTTATTTAATTAATATAATGATTGTTAGCATAACAATCCGTTGTAGTCTAGCTGGTTAGGATATTCGGCTCTCACCCGAAAGACCCGGGTTCGAGTCCCGGCAACGGAAGTAATTTTTTACTTTTGAACCCTCCACACTATACGCAGTATTCTGAGAGAAAAAAGCTATTTTATAATCAATGGAGCTCAGTGTACAAGGCAAAGTTATTTTATAAAAAGCTTAAATAACATCATGGATGTGTGTACAAGGCAATGGTTAACTGTGAGGTCCAAAATGTTCGAAACATTTTTACTTTCAAACACATGATTTTGCTATGTTCCAGAAAAACAAGTCCAAGCTGTGCGTGCATGCCAGCCACCGCATCAAGGGTCAGGTGTCCCATTGGAGTGCTCCTCACCTGCAAAAGTGGATGTTCCATTTGCCAACCGGTTCATGCTATTGTTATTGCTATTGCTGTTGCTATTGCTACTGGTAGAGTAATTTGAATATGGGGAATATGTAGAACCAGGACTGCTTCGTGAATACCGGTTCTGTGAGGCTGTGCTACTTCTTGTTACTTTCAGACGCGCCTTCCTACCCTGAGGAAAAAAGATGTAGTGGATAATGCTTAGTTGTTGTTGTTGTTGCATATTTAGAACTCTGTCAGATCAGTCAAATACGTGCGTTTGATATATGCTACACAATGTATCTTTTGCATTAAGGTGGAAAAAATACACGAATTCAAAAATGTGTTTGGAAACTAATCAAAATTACGCTAAACCACATCTTAAATTCATGCATGAGGCGAGGATTGGATTAAGCAAAATATTTTCACTGAATTCTCAATCATCAACAACAAACACCAAAAAATTTTCCTACTATGTGGGGTTGACATTAGTATTTTATTATGAATCATGGTATTCATGTCCATAGACAAATCATTGACCTCTAAATCCTTCGTAATTGGATTTTCGTATAGTTTTTTGCAGTCACTCTTGATCTTGAGTCAAAAGGCTACCCTCCATCTAATTCACTCTCCTAATTGGTGCTTCTACTAGTATTATCCACAACTCACAAGATGTTATGAATATATGATATGCGACTAATGTTATGGGCATAGAAAAGTAATAATGAGAAAATATTTTATTGAGAAATGTAAAATATTAGAGGATAAAAGAATAACCTTCCCCATGCACTTCTCCAGATGAGGAGCAAATCTCCCAGCCATGATAGATCGATTGCAATTCATGCACTCAAATATTTCATTTGCAACAGGGGGATGAGTTTGTCCAAATATGTCGACCACATACTTCCCGTTTGCTTCATTACTATTACTAGGATCGGCCACCTGAACCCTGGCTTGGGCTGATAACTTCAGTTCTTCATCTTCTTCTTCCAAATTAGAATCAAGCCCAAGCCTTGCTACTCTGTGACACTCTGATGCCACATCAACAATGATGGAGTCCAGGAGATCCAAGAACACATGAGATGAAATCTGCAAAACATCCCAACGGAAGCAAAAGGCCATCAAAAGTACATATGGCAGAAAGATATGCTAGCAGATATAAAGGTTGGCTGTTCAAGATAGACTTTCCACTTTATACATCACTGCAGTGCTGCACCGTCTTTGTTTCACCAAAGAGATGAAACCAAAAGCAACTGAGTGATGATACCCACTGATGTTAAATTTCAAAACATAGCAACTCTACTGAGTCATGGATTTTCATATTTCTCAAGGACTCTGACCAAACAGTGACAGTAGAAAGTCCACCGAAACTAGGATCACTGCAGGTACAGAGTGTTTAATTGTGCCAACAGTCTATGCAAAGGATAAGCTCAGAAACAGTAGAAAGTTGATTCCGCTGATGATGTAAGGCTTAAACAACTTAACATATTTGATAATTATCAAAATATATTCAGCATTATATTAAACTTTATAAATGGAGATTTAACCAAATATAGTTTGCAGCCACAGAAATTTTATTCTTTTCCTCCATTATCGATCTTAATCTTTCTCCTCACTGTTGATCATAGCCACATGAGAGAAGGTACCATCTTTAGGTATGTTATGTTTCAATGTCTTTTCAGCAGTTAATTTAAAAAAAGGGAAAAAAGAACAGGAAAAGAACAATGATCACAAATAGTAATGAAAGACAAAATGCTGTTCAATTAATATTTTCTTCCAAAAGGGAAAGCCTAAATTAAAACCATCAGTGCAATCCCAGAACTTAACTCAGGATTGAGTCTCAGGAGAATTTAAACTGACAGATTAAATGTGCCCAAGCAGTGTAGATAGTACATATGATTCATGATATGATACGTGCAATTTGGTACAAGTCTCCCAGCGATGCAAATCAGAAATGGAGTTGAATCACGTTGTGTATCGCAGGGATCGCACTTGACTCACATGAATCGCAGTTCCAACATGAATTGCACTATTCTTTGTGCTCACAAGTCACTCAAGAAAACAGGTCAGGTTGTGCAACATGGTGTGGAAGAACCATGAAAAAATTACCTTTGTTTTAGTATTTCTACTTGCAGTTTGAGAGGGAAACAGCTGATTCTTACCCTCCATGGATACCAAGACCAAATATTAAACAAAAGGAAACTTGTTTTTCAATTTCTCCACCTTCTACCTCTTACCAGTTACCCCACACAGCAAAAAATCTGTATCCCCTGCTTCTCATACTATTTCATTGCTTTTGACTGGTCAGCCGCTTCTCCACATTTTGCTGCTGATTGCTGACTGTCTCTGCACAAATTTTGTGCTGCCTACTTTCTATTGCTCTATTATTTCTCCTAATTTCCCTGTCTTATCCTGGTATTTATCTACTTTTTTGCTGTCTTTGTGCTGTGTTATTTTTAAGTGTATAAGACACTTCTTTAGCTATATAGTGAACTATTTTTATATTCAAAATCCTAATATACAGATCTTTCTATATGTTAAAATGTTATCATATTTATGCTTTTTAATTATTGATCATGAATTTGTGCTTTTATATTACTTTGTTATACATGGTATTTTTAACTATTGATCATGAATCATACGGCTAGATTTGTGATGCAGAAAATAAGCATTTTGATTCACACTTTGAATCCCAATTTTATAACCTTCCACCGACGCATGATTTCAGCAAAAGTTGGTTGAAGGGTGAAATGCTTTACAAATTGCATTAAAATATATTATTTAATAATTGCTACTCTCATAAAAGCATGTCTATCCAGAATTGAAGAGCACACCTGGGAATGTGATGACAAGTTTTCCTCATTCGGAACAGACATGTGTCTTGACCAAGCGTTTTGGATCCTAATTTACACCCATTATTGGTGAAAGTCAGAAACAACCGCAAAAGCTTTATGTGAGCATAAATAAGACAACAACAAAGGGACCAAACATAGTAACAAAAGGAAAAAAATATTGATATATGCATGACCTGCAACTATTGTGAAGAGTTAATTTGATTTTGGACTTTCAAAATATACCAAGGCATCATTAAAGAGTCTCTAAGATACTAAGACATTGTATGTATATGCTTAAGAAGGCATGGGATGTCCATACAACACATAAATTTCATCACGTAAAGTTCAACTGCAGGCTCTAAGAAAATAAGAATCATGATGGAATTAAGAAAACAGAATTGCTTTAAAAACAAAAAGAGAAACAACAATGAGGACTCCAACTAATTTGGATCAAGCATTTCACAATTAATACCTAAATTTGCAATAAGAAGATCATCCTAAAACTCTATCACCATTTTTTGCTAAGCGTCTAATGTCTCTATACACACACGACAGATGGTGGAGCAACATTTACCTCAACAGTCAACATTGACAAGAAAATATAGTTTAAACATAACCACAAAACATATTCATCATATACATATTGTTTGTCTCAATTCTCAGCCAAGTTCTGTACATTATCTTTCCCCTTTGATTATGTAGAGTTAGGATGACCTATCCATTTCCAGTTTCATATAAATATTCATTCACGGAACAATATTTTGCAATCTATCAGATCCACATTAACAGTAAATACATTATAAGAACATATCATTCACATTTTTGCAATTTCTCTGATTTCTTGCTCAACCCAACACACACACACACACACACACACACACAATCTTAAACATTTAAAATCACAAATTGGCCCTTAGTACTTTACTTGGTGGCAAAAATTACACTAATCAACCACAAAATAAAACTGATCATAAAAAAAGAAAAGGAAAACAATTAGCCTCATGCTAAGGATAAACTGGCACCAATCACCAAAGAGTCCACAAATTAAGAGTGCAATGATACATTAAATGAATTAACAGAAACCCGTTACGGGGAAATGGTTAAGGTTTCTAAAACAACATAGAAACAGGAAAAGAAAGAGGCAAACTCGAACACAGAGAGGAAAGAAAAGAGCTTACAGTTGCAGAAGAAGAAAAGTTGGAACCTTTGTGATAGTTGGGAGAGAGATCACTGAGAATCGTCGAGAGGAGAAGTTCTGACGGTGATTCTGATTCACACCCAACTGGGTTTGGGGCTACAATTTCCAAAAAAAGCTAAAATCTTAGGCTTAGAAATAAAAATTGAGTATATTTGTGTTTGTATGAATTTGATTTTATATATGATTTTTTTTGCATGCATACAGAAAACAATCAAAATTTATATATAATAAATGTATATTAAAAAGTACCTAATATTACTGAATTTAAAAACTTTATAATATTAAAGACATGATTTAAAAAATTATAAATAACTTGTAAATGTAATTTATAAATTTTTATATAATTTATCAAAATAAATTATTTTAACTTATTTTAATAAATTTATGGTTAAATTTATAATATAAGTCATCGTCTTAAAAAATATTAAATAAATAATTACTTAAACACGTTTTAAATGTAGTAATTAAATAAAAATTTAAATTTTTTTTTACATATCGTTAAAAAAAAAACTGTTTCATATAATTAGTTTTGTTTAAAATGAATTTAGTGTAAAATGTTTTATGTTTAAAAATTTATATAAAAACAAATTTATAATAAAATTTAATATCATTTTTTTAGTTTGAAATGACAATTTATTACACTGTATCACATTTAAGATTAAAAATTAAATTTATCATGCTATGAAATTGTTAAATATACTAACATAAATTTTAAATCATGATTATATCTTTAAATTTGAGTTTAGAAAGTTGCATTACTTATTTAAACCATGCACTAAATCATCAAATCAATTTAATCGTTAAAATTATACTAATAATTTATTATGGTTTATTAAATTATAGAACATATTTAAAATAATAATATCATTTTGATCTTTAATATTAAATTAATTTTGTTTGAGTAGAATTACTTTAAATAAAAAAATATTTATATCAACACATACAGTTATATATTTTGATCTACCGTGGGAGTATTTGCATGAATAAGATTGACATAAATCAAATCAGACGTGTCACGTGTTTAAATATTAATTATAAAAATTGCATTTTTGAACCAATCTGATTACTCTTTTTAAAAGTGGTTTAACTTTTGAGCTTTTTTAAATAATTTTTTTTTAAATGTCTTACTTTTAAAAAAATCAAAATATGTCCTAATTTACTTAATACATATTAGAGTGAAACAAATTATAATTTATATATCAATTATCCATAATAAATTTGAGAATGATTATACTAATAACTTAACATATACATGTTTAGTTTAGCATGTTCTTACGTTTAGTCTTAAATTCTAAAAAAGAATAACTTTATAAAATATGACTTAGCAAATGGAGTTGCAAAATGTTATGACCTCTTTAAAAATTAAGATTTAAAAGTTTGAACATGATAATGATAAACTTTGAATACGCACATTATATTATACTATTTTTAACTCTTAAGTGACTTAAGTTTTATTTTTAAATGAGCATGATAATGTTAATTTAAGTACCGTTGTATTAAATTTAAATACGATCTATTATACTAAACTTAAACACGTTAAATACTATAAGTTATATCAGTTTTGAATGATTAATGTTTTATTTTCACATAAATATATTTTATGTTAACTTGAGTATGATCATGCTAGAAAAAGGAGAATAAACTTAAAAATTTCTCACTAAAAAAAGTAAATATTTAAAAAAATTATTTTTTTAAATTTTATTCATATAAAAAGGCTAATTTAAAAATAATATATAATAAATTATGAAATTTTGAATGAAAAAGTAAATTGAATTTTTTGAAGTTGACTAGTTTTATTAAAGAGTTGTTAATGTTTTCGTAATTCTTTCTAAAATTTCATTTTTAATATAAATATTTTTAAATCAGAAAGTTTCCTTGACCTTTATCAAACCAGTAACCCATTAATTGCATAGAACAAGGGTTAATTCGCGTCACAATTGTGGAAAGTTATTGATGACCCTTATGTTTTATTTTCTCTGCTATGAATTCTTTGAATAATATTTTTCTATCTTATTGTGTTTTATTTTCTTTTATGTATATGGAAAATGTGAAATATTTTGTTATTAAGCAAAATGTGTGCCTCGATATTTTCAATTAAAATCTCTTTTATAAATATAGTTAACGAATATATGCATGGAGTTATCTTAATCATATTAAATATATATAGATATATATATAGATATATATATATATATATATATATTATTTATATTTACATGTACGTAATAAATTGAATTGGATGGACATTTTCCTTCCTTCAACTTAGTGGCGAAGTAATTATTTGTCATTTTTTTATCTATTTCATTTTCACTATGGAAAAGCAACTACTTCATAATTAAGAAAACCGTGGGAACATTTTATGTTTATATAAACTAAGCAATAATCTAATAAGCACGTCTTTCGATTTGTTTAAATTTGGATTTTATGTTTTTTATGTTTTCCCAAATAGATTATAAGGAAAACACTTAGATAAAAGACTAAACATGTACTTACTACTTAAACAGCTGTGAAAATATTCTTAAATTATAAAAGTGATTCCTATTTTCATATATAAGATATATCAAACAACATAAGCATGGGTTTGGTTTTGTTTAATTTTGGTATATTTTTTATATTCGAATTCCCTGATTTAAATTTAAAGCAGGTAAGATTCGGTTTTTGACCTCAAAAAAATAATATAAAAAATAGATAAAACTTATCTTATAAGTTAAAAATTATTTATATTTTTAAAAAAATTTAAAAATGAATTATTTAATTTATAAAGAAAAATTTATTTATTTTGTATAGATTAAATAACAAGTGATTTTGATTGGTGAAGATTGTGATGATGTTGGATAAAAGCATAGTGTGAGAGGCAAGGGTTTGAAGAAGGAGGCGAAGCAAAGGTAAACGCCAATCTTCGTCATAGTTATTGTGATCATCATTAATCTGAGTACATGCGGTGGGTAAACTCCAGCCTCAAACAAAATTGATAAGATAAAGGGGTCAAACCAAACAAATTAATAAACGATAAATTTTATTTAAAAAATTATATTAAAGGGATATTAAATTTTTTGATAAAATATATTAATAAAATGAATAATTTTTTATTAAAAATTTATTATATCTTAAAATATAAATTATACTAAACACTTCTATATTTTAATAAAAGCTCATTATTTTTTCATGTTTAGGATATAACAATTTTATTTTATTTGATATCAGTCAACCTAATCTCACTATCAAAATTTACTCTTTATTAATTTTAATTTAAGTATTCATCAACTTTATTCAATAAGAATAAATATTTCATAAAAATTATAAAATGTATTGTAAAATGAATCACTAGTTTTTTTTAAAAAATTGTACTTTATAAAAAGTCAAAATCGTATTTACATTAAAAAATTAATAATTTTATTAACTTCAACGACAAAATTTAAATATACAAAACTAATAAATTTTTGTTTAAAAATTATTTGTTATAATTTTATATTTTAAGTTTAATCAAAATTTATTTTAATAAAAATAATTTTAAAAAATTATTTGAATTCAAATATAGGAGTTAAAATTAACAAAATTGACTATAATAACTTTTTCTACAGTGACTGTGTGCCCATCTTACTTTAACCCCGTCCTTGATATTATTTGTAATATTAGGTGCGCGATATATAGTTAGAAGATTTTGTTATAGTGCTATTTATGAAAATGTCGTTATAATTTAAAAAATTTAAAAATAAAAGTTTTGAAGAATTTTAAATAAAAATTATAAAATATTTTCTTTATATTTAAAATAAAAATTACCATTAAATATATCTTTTTCTTTCCTTTCTTCTTCGTTAAAAATTAGCTCTAAACAATGTCTAAAATTATAAATTTGACCGTCTCTCTCGAAAGTTAAACCATGATTAATTTCAGAAGCAGGTTAATCAACCAGTTAGTGAGATAAAAAATAATTCAAAGTGTTTTTTTTTATTTTTATCGAATATGCCTAAATTACTGTACCCAGCACACCTTCAAATTAATTAGTACCTTTTTTACATTTTTCTGTATGGTTACAATTTTTTTTCCTGTTTTATTAAATGGTGTGTAGATCGGTCAGTCATTAACTAGATATTGTCAATAGATTTTGTAAATCTTAATTTTTAAAACTGAAATTAAGAAATAAAAAAATATTTACTATATTAAAATTATTAAAATTAATAATTTTTTTGCTACGAATTTACTATTTGTACGTGGTAAAACTCAATCCTAAAAAATTAAAATTTTTATTGCCAACTAAGTTTGTAACTCAACATTGCTTCAACAAAAAAATCCAACGTGAAAGCACTTGTGATTGTAAATGTATGAACAATAGGTATCCTTTAGTGGTCCTTCCTTATCTCGCGAGCATACATATATATATATAGTATTTCAAAATTATAGTTAACATTCATTTGGTTTCCATGAATGTATCAATGTAATATTTATATTATTTTAGCATTTCATTTCAAATAATGAAAATGAATAATACGTCAAACCCTGTAAAGGATTAAAGTATTGGAAATGCAAGTTTGAAGTAATTAAGTAGATAAAGTATTTCATCTTTTGAACATGTACAATGCAGAGACCAAAACATTATTTGTATAGAAAATAGGAAAAGAAGACGATAATTTGGACAGCTTTGTTTTATTATTTGTCGCTATGCAGTAAATATATGGCCCTACATATAAATGCATAAGGAAAAATACTAATGTGAGTTTGGAGTAGAAATCAGACCAATTGAATGATCCAAAAGAAACGTTGTTTGTTTGTTTGCAACTGATATTTGATTATGGAAAGTTTTGGATTAGGCTCATCTTATTCGAGTAAAGTTAGATTGGATTATTATACTCGTACGTCAAACTTTTGTCTATCAAATTTAATGTAATTATATTTTCAAGATTCGAATATAAAATTACTCCTTCAGGTATAATAGTCTCCTAATTATTTCCAGTAATTTAAATTTTAATGTTGTTTAAATTAAATTAAAACATACATATGCCTTTTTTTTTCTATCTAATAATGAATATATTTTACATGTGACTATCTTATTTGAGATAACAACATTCACAGCTTGAAGGAGTTATATTTTTTAGCAAAAATTATTTGCATATACAATACTTAAATTTAACATACACTATTTGAATCAACTATCTATTTATATACACCTTGTTTGTTTATTTTTTAGTACATATTTAAAAAGTATAAATTATTAAATGAAATATTAAACATTTTATATATTAAAAATGAAAAATATATACATTCAGTATTTTTAATCCAATAATAAAATAATTTATTAAAGAGTAACTACTACTTCCTTTTTAAAGGAATTAGTTTTATAATTATACCTATAGCCATACCCTAGATCAAAGACAAACAAATTACATGTTTTTTAGATCTTTTATAATTTTTTAAATTATAATTATTAATTTCGATTTGTGAATAATCATTTTAGATATTGTTTTATTTGAGAACCTCATATTAATAATAATAATAATAATTAGCAGGGTAAATTTAAGTAGTGTATCGTGTTCAAAAAACAAGTTTAATGAATACACTAAAAACTGTTTTATCTTCGCATAGAAAAATGTTTATGATAAGGGGCAGACACAACAAAGTAAAAAAAAAAAAAAACTCTAACTATGAGATTTCTTTCTTTTTTTTACACAGTTTACACCCAAAAAATGAGTATCACTGCATAATTTTTCTAAAATATTTTAAACATAAAAAAGTGAAAACAACAAATGGGCCACCTGGTTCAGCCGAACTAGGCTGCAAGCACTGTAGTCGTACCCTTAAAATATTCCCAATCATCAAGCAAAGAAGAAAAATACAAAAAATCAAGGAAAGCATTGTTCATAGGAATGACATACCAACAAAGAAAGAAAAGAAGGAAAAACAATAGCCAGAGGAAATTAAGAGTGAATAAGAAGGTTTGTTGCAAAGCCAAACAAGTGCGACCATTTCGTGCATTTTGAAAGAGTCAATGTTTCATACTTGCTTTCCAAAAACTTGACATAGAAGATACATATGAAGATAATATAAGCCTTAATTATTATTATCATCATTATTTGCTTTCTTTTTAGTCCATTGCTATGTCTCCTTACACTTCTTTCAGTCCTCAACAACAAGATGAGGTTCAATTCTCAGACGACAAGCACTTTGCCCTACATGGAAAGATCTTGCTTCTTGGTTTTATCATCGTCTTCTTTCTTATGTTGGCGTTCATCCTCATGATTCCGTGTCTCAAGAACCGTGCTAGGCGTTCTCGTGACTCAGAAACTGATGAAGACTCCATTTCAGGCCAGAATAACACCCCTTCACAAAGCTGGTTCAGAAGAAGAAGAAAAGAAGATGTTACACTATGCCAATTCTCCATGCAACAATAGATATTAGAGCAAGATAAGTGCTTCAAATTCCATGTTGATATAGTTTGATTTAGTTTCTCGTAAGCTGGAGTATAAAGTGAAAAAGTTGAGAATTATTTATTATTGTTGATTTAAATTAAAATATTTTACAAACAAAATCAATTTTAAATCAACAATTAATAAATATTTACTTTCTCATTTTAAACTTCTCTTTACCACATTATTAGTGTAATTAAGTTTGATATACAGGTAGAAGAAAGTTCGTATTGTTGGTCATATTGGTAATTAACTTGTGGTGGTGTACTCTTCCTGTTTTGCATGTCAATGTCATACTACACCTTATGGTATACACACATGCAGCAAGTTGAATCATATCAACATCCTTGGTATATTTACATTTTAGTCCTTGTGGAAACCTAGATTTGTAGCTGGGTCGTTAACTCTGTTAATCAGTTATCTGTTATACATAGTATTCTTGTTCCTTAAAGCCTACTGAACCTGTCTATTTTATAGATATACTTGTCTTCTTGCTTGTTTTAGATATGAAACTTTAGATCGATATGTTGATTTTTCTCTGCGGAACCATTGTTGCACTTGCACGCTGGACTATTTGTACTAGTGAAAGAAACAAATATAAAAAACCAAAATACTTTGTTCATACCTCATCAAATGGAGAATAGAAATGGGGTGTGATTTCGCCAGAAGAAGAGGTTATATATATTTTTTTTTAAAAAGAAAAAAATATAAAAAAGTGGATATGAAAAATTAATTACTATAAAAAAATAATAAAGATAAAACGCTTAATTAAACGACACTGACCAAAGTAAAACATACCTAAATATTAAAAGCACATATTCATTTTAATTTTTTTAGAGATTTTAAAAAATAAACAAATATAACATTCCATAAAGTTCAATGGAGATAAGAAATGAAACATTTACAACAAAAATGAAAATTACTTATAACTTTTAAAAGCTTATTTTAATAAATTTTTTAATGTTTTATCAAAATATTTTTTTTTAAAAATAATTTATAATCAAATTTGTTACATAATTTTTTACATTATAATAATTTATTAAATAAACATTTAATTATAAATTGTCAAACCCGAGAAGCAAAAAGCTCTTACTATCCCTCCTCGTCATGTATGAAGAGTGGAGGAAGATATTTGGTGCTAGTAATTATGAAATCACATTCGATGGATGAAGATCAAACGATTCAAATTTATTTGTTTCCTTTCATCAATTTTAGAATTTAAACCGTTTGATCTTCATCAAACAGTTTTGATTTAATAAGTACACCAGCTAAATCAAATCGAAGTCCAATAACAGTGTATTGAAAGTGAATTATAAAGTGGTGGAAAGGGAAGCAGCTCAGCCTTTTTATCTATTTGTGCCTGTAAAGTGCTCCATTTGCAAGATTAAAGTGTAGTGTCTGAAGCAACAATAAAAATACAACTAAAAAAACATTTTGGTCCTGAAACATTAAAGTTGGTTATTTTAATATTGAAAAATGTTAGCAACACATTATTATATCTACTGCTAACTAAAATTTATTAAAAACTATAAATATTATACAAGTCTCACTAACATTTATTGAAAATTACAGATATTAAGTTTCATTGTCTTTTATTTCTAAATTAATGTTTTTCTTTCATATATTTTTAATTTTTAAATAAATTTTAGTCAATAAAAGGTATGTTAGAGAAAGTTTATTGCCGATATTTCTCCAATATTTTAGAAGTTTTTTTTATAGAGCATAGACAGAAACTGATACCAAGGTTTCTAAAGCTGCAATTATCATTTTGGACCCTACACATTAAGTAACATTTCTAATGCTAATAATGGAAATGCATATGAAATTTGTCCTACCTTTACCAACATAATAAGTGGATGTGTTTGCTTTGTGATGATTTAAGTGTTATGGTTCATTTGGAATAGAGGTTGCTTTTCCATTTGCTTGGGTAGAGTTTTGCTTGATGGTTGTTGTAGGTTTTGGTATTAAGATTTCGAGATGATGATACGAGGTGAAGGAGGCTAGTGGTTTTATGAAGAAAAAAGTGATCTTCTAAGCTTTTTTCATAAAATATCCAAACAAATGGGCCCTTAGTTGGCCTTAGAGAAGAGTGAATATTCCAGTCTACGAGAGTCGATAATTCTCACGTGTCTTTTATGAGGACCCTCCGTAGGACAAGTTCCTTTAACACACTGTTTGATTCAGCTTTTGTTTTAATATTTATTTTTTAAAATTCTCTCTCTCTCTCTCTCTCTCTCTCTCTCTCTCTCTCTATATATATATATATATATATATATATATATATTTATTTATTTATTACAAAATATATATTTGGTAAATTAGGCAAACTAAATATGATTAGTCTTACAAAATTTATTATCTTGTTTTCCTTTTTCAGTTGATACTTTTCACTGACAATTGCAAAATTTTCACATTGTAAACATATAAAATGGGAATCGAAACATAAAATCAAACCAAAGACAGTTGCTATTTCCTAAAAGGTGTATGTTGAAATACATTGCTATTCACAATGTCTTAACTCTCAAGTTTCAGTAACAATCCTCAAACAGTATTGACAAAGGTTGAGCTAATCCTGGTTAAAATTTCACATTTTCTAAGAAAGAAACATCAAAACAATAATCATATCGCGGTTATAATCCGATATATCCATAGCTGGGTTGTGAACCAGAATTGTAAGCATTCATGTATATAACATACATAAGAGTTAAAATTGTCTTATAGTATTGATGGTGAAGATACACTACAAGAACCAATGTGTTTTATCTGTTAAACAACATAGGCTACTTAATGTATAGAAATAGAATAAACATTCTAACCAGAATGAAAGATGTAAAGAACCAATTCCTAAAATTTGCTGATTTGTTTTACAACAATATGCTTAATCTCAGAAAACGATACTTCCCACCAATATGGAAGTGAGGGGAACTGTTAGGTTGTCATCAAGCGCTGTGCTGATAGGAAGGGACTCCACAAGTGCTGAGACAGTGGACACAATTAGAAAACGTAGAACCAAGTTCCAGCTTCCCTCAATAAATCCAAATGAGGAAAAATACCACATATACCTGTCAAAACACTAATTGTTAATAGGACCATAGATTTATGGCATGTTCAGATTGGCATTCCACTCAAATGTGGACCTATTCCAATGTTACAAGTTGTAGTTTTTATATTAAAACATGGTTATCAAGAATTTCCAATGAAAACACATTGAAAAACTTATAAACATATATTCAATTTAGAAGTTAAAACTAATAACATTGAAGTAAACGTGAATCCATGACCATTTAAACATGAATCTAGACACTCTAATAAAGCAACAGAAGTCCTTAGAAGGTTACCCAACAGAAGCTAAGAATCCAGCTAATGCCATTGCAATTGAACCAGCGTAAGACTTGTTTTGGTTGTAAGGTATCTTTTTACCACCAAATCGCCTTCCAACAATGTCAGCGATGCCTGAAACAGCATATTAAAAATAAGAATCAGAGCCAGTCATTCTAGGGAATAAAGGATAAGGCTTCTCTGCTCTTGACAGTGATGTAGAGGTGATCTTTTTATTTTGTTTTTTCTTTTCTAATTCTAGTACTTTTAAAGGAACTACTAGTGAATCTAATATATAGCCTAATTTCAGTAAAATTGGCTGTGGCAACATTACCATCTCCAGCACACAGATTACATATTGCAGCAATGGAAATAGGTGAAGTTCTCCAGTATATTATGGATGCCAAAGTAATAGTCGTGGCATAATACAGTGGTCCTTTAAGAAGTTCCCTGGTGCAGTAGAAAAACAGAGAACAAATGAAGAAATAATGTAACGACAAATGATCAATTACCAATCAATGGAAATTCAAATAAAATGTTTGTTTTTATTCTCAAGGACATCTCACAGCGCAAATGTTTAGCCTGGCTGGTAATTTATACCATCACAAACCTGTTTTATAAACCATACATCATACAAGAAATACCGAATTCACATGGACAATATTGCAACCTGTAATCTCCAAATCTGCTCATTGATTTCACTGTGGCCTCATCTTTCCATATTCCAAGTCCAGTAACAAGCATACGAATTATATTGACTCCCGGAATGAGAGCAGCAAAGAATGAAGCCCTATTGTCTGTACTGTAATAGTTGAAGAAAGGTCATGGAAATGATAACTGAACTTTGAACAGGCTCATAATTCATAAATTATACAATTACCTGAAAAGTGGCCAGCAGAGCATGAATAACAGCCCAATGGTTATATGTACAAGTTTCCTATTTAATTTCTAAACATAGAAAAATAGTTTATGAGAATTCTGAAGATGTGAAGAAGATAATTATTAGAAGAACAGCAATTCAGCATCTATTAAATGACAAACTACAAAAACCTGTGACCATCTATAAAAGATAGCAAAGCACAACGAAAAGTAACCAATATAATGCACGACTTTTTACTTCTAAAATGATAGACATCAGTATTAAAGAGAGTCAGCAAGATAGCAAATAAGAGTTTTTCTTCAGAAATTAGTATGATGGTGATACTGATAATAACACTATTTCCACAAGCTCTAACAATCTTTCTGAAAGTGCATGAGTGCCAACACGAAAAAGCCTGATGAAAGGAGTAGCCCTTTCCATGATATTAATAGGAAATTCATAATTTTCTCTTGTCTAAGCTTGGCCGTGGTGAAGTACATCTGTTTCTGTTTTAACATTAGAATTTCACCTCGATATGAGCTTAAATGGCAGGTTACATAAGTAAAACTCTAATTTTGATGAAAAAAAATACTAAAAATACCTGTAGAACTAAAATTACTTACAGAACTATATTTAAGCTTTATTCTATTTTAAATGAGTAATACTAGTAATATATTCTCTAAGAAACTTATTATTATTAGCTATCATTTATTAAAAATCATGAAAGTCTCACTTCTAATTTAACAATTTTCACTGATTCTGTTGTAGTTTGGAGTAAATTTCAAACCAAGTTCCGAGCCCTCCTCATTTTGAAATGACATTCCTTAAACAATAAAAGGTTTTGTTAACTTCAAACTGAGTTAAGCATTCACAAATAAAATTAAAAAAATAGAGTTATTGTAGTTATTATATTGAAGTGATAAAACACAGCAATAAATTAAATTCTCACGTTCCAAAAGCATGAAAAATACTTTACTAGACAATGCTTTTATCTTGCCATAGTTCCAATACATCCGTGAACAACAAATTACAAGAAAATAGGCATTTCCAACAAGCCCCCATAGTTGTCACGCACTAAATTGGCACAAAATTCCACACCCCAACACGATTATCCTTCAACTTAACCCCACCCCAGAACCAAAAACACAAATTTTCAAGAATCAGGAAGGAAAAAAAGCAGAGAAGTAACTCACTAACACACCTGGTCAAAGAGGCCTCGTTTAGCAGTTTCTTGCCACAATCTAAGGGAGGACAAGGCAACGACGACAGAAAGAGCAGTGGCATAGATGTCGGAGACAAGAGGGTCGTGGTGAAGCATGGTGGATCGTGGTGGGGTAGTGGCGGAGAAGAAGGAGTAAGAAGAAGCGAAGAGTGAAGTGGGTTTGAGTTTGGTGAAAAATGGGGCAGAAGCAGAAGAATGGAAAGTGGGTCTAATGGTGGGTGTGAGAAGAATAGGGACAGAAACATAAGAAACAGAGTCAAACCTGATCCTAGTTATCATGTTGGAACCATGAAACATGATGATCTCAGCGATTCTTCGTCAACTCGCATCCTCCCATTTGATTTTGATTATCCAACCTCCCATCACAAAGGAAGGTGCAGCCAGAGTGTGTGACTTTGTTTTCAGAGAGATTCTTGTCTGCTTAATTAATTATGAATTTAATTTAAATATAATAATATTTCAAAAATTTTATAAATTATCATAAATAAAAATTAACTTTTATAGTAATTAATATATAAAATCATATTTATAGTATATTTTAATTTTTTTTTACGTTAATATAAGTTTAAAATTTTTTACATTAATTATCCATTATTATAAATTAAATAAAAAATTTAAATCAAGTATAAAAAATTTTAAATTTATATTGTGTATGAAAAATATATATATTTTTAATTTATATATTAAAATTAAATTTAATAAAAAAATATTAATAATATATTTTTAACACTTTTTAAATTATTTATTAAAAACTATAAAATTGACGTGCATTTTTAAAAATACAGCTCTGAATTCATTAATTATTGGTTTTAAAAATATTATGTGACTTAATTTTGAGGGACACTTGTCTGGGATTAAGATTTGGTGTCGTGGTCCTACACATAGTCAATGGAGCGAGGGCACTTTTACACCGTTAGATCCATCTAAAAATATCATTTGAGTTTTTAAAATTGTAGAGAGTTGTATAATTTTTAAAATTTAGACTTTGTAAAAAATTAAAATAACTTACCTTAGCGTTCATAATTGAACCGGTCATTCTTAAAATGACGTGTTGCATTAAGTCTTTAACAAATTATAAGTGACGTGGTGCGGACCCATGAATTCAAGACACAGTGGAAAATCCGGCCCTATATATATGTTAAAAATCTAGGGCCTTTAATTTTTAAAAAAATAATATGAAGAAAAAAGGGTTTTTTATTTAAATAATGTTTTTTCAAAAAAATTAAATTACTAAATTATAATTTTTTAAAACTAATTTTCTATTTAGATAAATTTAGCTACGTGGCATAAATTTTACTATGATTATTGGTAAAAGAATTTTTTTTTATTTTAAAAATAAATTTTATCACTAAAAATGTAAAATTTATATTTTTTATTTTTAAAAATAAATTTTGCCACTAAAAATATAAAATTTATAATTTTTTTATTTTTAAAACAAGTTTTGTCACACAATTTATAATTTTTTTAAAAATAAATATTTATATTATAACTGAATTATAATATTTTCACACATGTAAAAGTTTTTATAAATTTTACATTTTAAGTAGTCAAAACTTACTTTTAAAAATAAAAAATTTATAAATTTTGTATTTTTGTGACGATATTTATTTTTAAAATAAAAACTATAAATTTCACATGTTTAATGATAAAATTTATTTTTAAAAATAAAAAATGAATTTTTTACATTTTTAGTGATGAAATTTATTTTAAAAATAAAAAATAAAAATTTTGCCAACAATCATAACAAAACCTATGTGATGCGGCCAAATTTACTCCAAACAAAATTTTTTTTTAAAAATTATGATATAATAATTTTTTTAAAATATATTTTTTAAATAAAAAATCCCAAAAAAAGGGCAAATCTTTTTAATACTCTCCAAAACTGCATTTAAATTTTGGTAAACTGGATTTAAATCTGATAATTTTATATATAAATATGTATTTATAAAAGAACAAATAATATAAAATAATAAAAATTTTAAGTTATAGAGAAGTTAAATACAAATGAATTCTAAAAATTAAAAAAAATAAATTAATTTTAGTTTATAAAAAGAAATACTTATTCAATTTACATATTTTCATTCAATTTAAACTACAAATTATGACTTGAAGTCATATAACTTTCTATTAATTCAGCTATGTATTCATTAATTTTTAAATTTAATTTTTCATTTTTAACAATATATAAAAAATCTTTTGTACACTAATGTTTTATTTTATATATAAAAAATAATATAAAGTATAATATTAAAAAATTATATATTCAAAGTATATTACTTATATCACAAGTGGATTTGTCCATTAAAGTACATTATAGTTACTTCAGGTGGGTTTGCATTGATATTATTATTTTGAAATATGAATTTTGAATTTTTAATCTATTAGTATATATAATAATACTTGATAATTTGATGTGCATTGCTTTGTTGTACATAGAACTTGATAATTTTATGGTGTTAAGGTTATTAACTAGTTTTATGTTAAATTTAAATTACATTTTTAGATTTATTTTTTTTAGGAAAGTAGTTACATTTTTAAACATCAGGACAGGAGTCTTAACAAAAACATTAATGTATACTTATTTAGTTTTATCTTACTAATTATGTTAGCTCTCATTTGCAAATAATTAATTACTGTTATGAATTGAAAAATATAAAGATAGAAATATGATACTTAAATAAGTTAAAATAAAAAGGAAAAACTTCAATTAATTATTTAAATATAAAGAATGTAATAAATAATTGATTAAATAAAATAATTTTATAATATTTTAAAAACTCATTTTTAAATTATGTAGAATATTTAATGTAAAAAATAAATAATTAAAAAATGATTTCAACGTTTTGTACCTATTTCACTTTCTCCCAGTTTGAGAAAAAAAATTTCCCTCCTTTTTCTTTTCCCCAGTCAAAGACATATCTGATCCTTCCTTCTTTCCTTTTTAATTTTCTTTTCTTTAAATACATTTTCAAAAAGAAAATAAAATTATTATTCATTTAATTTTAAATTTAAATGATTAAAAATTTACCATATAAAATACAATGATTTATTATATAAAGATATATATATATATATATATTTAATATGATAAAAATTTATTTACCATGAATTTAATGTTTTGAAAATGTGTGAGATTGACTAAATTATTCAATGATAAATATTAATAAATTTTTGTATCAATTAATATTTGATGGCAAATTTTATTATTAAAAGTAAATGATAATAATAACTGTTATTACCATAATAATTTTTACTTTATTTTTCATTTTTATAATATTTGAACATTGTTGCTTTCAATTTTTAATAATATTTTTTATTGTAAAATATTACAAATAATTCAAATGGCAATATTTGGTATAATATTTTTATTACTTTTTTAAAGTACACTATTATTTTTAGTTATTTATTGTTTTATAACATTTATTATATACATATATATATATATATATATATATATATCCGCTAATTTATTTTCTCTATTTAATTTTAATTTCGGAACTAGCACAACTTTATCTATGAATCTTATTAAATTTAATAATACTTTAATAATATTTTTATACTGTACAAATCTTATTAAATTTAAATATTTTTTAAATACATTATTGTGTACAATAATAATGTAGTGTATAATCTGTTATAAAATAATCTCTAATTACAAAATAAAAAATTAAAATTATTGTTAATTTAATCATAAAAAATAACAATAAAATAATTACAAGAGAGAAAGATATAATAAGAGAGAAAACGAAGTTAATGCTTTTTACTTTATCATAAATAGTTACTAAATTTAAATATTTTTGAAAATTTTATCTCAACAGAATTTAAATAAAATAAATAATAAATTTAATTAAATTAAATTTGACTTCCATAAAATTTTTAAAATATAAAAAAAATCCAATACAACATACTTCCATAAATTTTTTTATATAATTTTTAATTATTTTCATTAAAGATGCAAGTAGAGATTTAACAATTTGAATTTCCATGTCTTTTTCTCCCAAAAGATATATAATATAATTATTTTTAAAGTGTTGAGATAATATTTTAATTTCACATCCGATAATGAATTTGGTGAAATGGAATCATTGGATCTATTGTGTCAAATAATAATCCGATTATATTATCTCTTGTTATTGGTAACATGTTTACGTGTCTATTATTAGGATAATCAAACAGGTATTGTTACTGGATTGGACAACGAAGCTGAACCATACTCTGAAGGAAATTAATTATTCTGCTGATTTTATTGCTAAAATGAATGCTTATTCTTATTTTATTAGGTTTCCACTTTTCTACTACTAGCTCATGTTGAGATCATTGTTTTGTTGATTCTTTTATCTCACGTACAAATATTATTTCATAACGTTAGAGACCAAAAATATATTACTTATGCCTATTATATTCTATTACAGTGATGTACTAAATACAAAAATTATTAAGTTAATAGTGTTAAATTAAAATTTGTCCTGTGCTAAATTTTGATGGTTAAATTATATTGATATTAAAAATGAAGTAGATCGAAAGTCTAATAGGCCAAAAAGTTATTCGTAGATTTTATTTTTCATAAACTTCTTTACTTTTAATTCATGGGAATACAATATGGTATCTATGGATGAATATACATATTTATTTATAAAGAAGATAGTTAAACTTTTCGATAATATCTATATTTATTGCATACATCGAACAAGAAAAAATGTTTAATGTTATTCTTTAATTAAGCATTAAAAAAAGAATATAAAATACCAATATCTTGAAAACATTAGTTGTAGCATTTCTTTGTAAAGCAACATACTTGAGAAAATATATAATGAGTTTATTGCCACCTCAAAATATTTATTTTCACTCTTCTTTAAATAATCAATATATAGAATTTTTTTTTATTTAGTTAAATGAATAATAATTTTTTTAAAATCTTAAATAAAGAGTAACAATAGACACTTCATAAAAACCTGGAGCTTAAAAGGAAATCACATTGGGTTTGTCTTAATTTGGCTGATAATTTGGTTGCATACAAATTAGGATTCCATATACAAATGCCAACATAACCTTGTTTGGAGTCCTTCTAGTGTACCAAATTCATACAAAAGATTTCTTTTTTTATTATTAATTTATGTGCTGGGTTATCGTATGGGATGATCACACCAGCAGAGAATGACAACTAATTGATTATGGTATTGATGTATCTGGCAAATATGCATGTAAGTAAATTGTTAAATTCCAACTAAGAAAATTAACACCTTTTTCCAAAAGTTTTAATATTGGATTGCTAAATGACATCTTTTATTCATTTTTATTTGAGAAATTAAATGAATTTTTTTTATTCATAAAACCCAAAAAGGAAAATATCTTTAGAAAGATAC